AAGTTAATGGGCATTGATAATTGGTGTAATCCATTTACCAAGTGTTTGTAGCGTATTATTTGTGTTTAGTACACAGTTAGTGTTTTTTTTTATCATTCGTCGAGCAAAGCGTAATTAAGTCTCGTTTACAGCCGACGTGAAACTTGATGCGTATTATTTGTATTTAGTACACAGTTAGTGGTTTTTTTTTTATCATTCGTCGAGCAAAGCGTAATTAAGTCTCGTTTACAGCCGACGTGAAACTTGAATAAACACGATCAAATACGGTTGAATACGATGAATCGTTTGATGGTAAATCAAAGGAAAATATTCGTTAATGTTTTCTTTTGTAATATTGACGAAAAACTTGTTATTTTATACAGAGAAATTATCCACCAATGACGTCTTTCTGTTTTTTAAGCGTTCCGCAATTGTATTATGAAAAATACAGTACCTGCCGTAATAATAGTATTGCTCCACCTGTGCAATTCACTCATGCTTGTTTACAGTATAGTATAAAACTGCAAGCAGATGTTGTATCTGACATGGATAGGAGCGTATTGAACCTTCTGTAGTGGAATGTATTCATTCGTGTTTATTTGTGTTCGTTTATGTTCATTCATATTTATTCCTGTCCATTTCTTAGGTTCAGACGCGTTTTAGAAAATCTAATTAGTTACAAAATCTTTTTTCTTTCAATAGGGAAGCGAAATAATTCGTATTTAGTTGATAAAAATCTATTAGAAACGCTTCTAATTGGTTATGAGGTATTTTCGTGTTGAACAGTGTAATAAGAGAAAATAATGTGTACAACAGGTGTATGGTCTCGTAGAGATGGGGAATCTTGAAACTCGGATTTATCTTTTTTAACGGAGTATCTATCCACCTTTTTTTTACAGTCAAGTCTGATAAAGCAGTCAATTCTGAGAATAAAAGTACTGTAGCTCACAGTTTCTGAGACACTTTGTTGTATCCTATTGTCTACGCCATGAAACATGTTTGATGCTTTATTTATTACTTTACATCGGTTAGAATGTGAAACGAAGACAGAAAGAAATCTGTAGCCACCACGTTGAATACTTTCCGCCGAAACAATATAGTTTTTATATATAACACGATTTGAAAAAGGAATAGGTTGGACGCTTATGAATACAAAAAGGTGCAGAATCGAAGTAGAATTACAGGTACAGTGTAATTATATCTACATTAGAAACTCGAAGCTCTGCAATTCTACCAGATAGCAAGTTGACTTTAAAGGGTTCAAGATAAAGACGTAAACAGTATTTCAAGCGGACCGATTATCAGCCTCGTTAGATTTTTTCCATATAAGGAGTACCGAGCAGTTACGCTTATCACGTTCTGCGTGTAATCTTATCAACATTTTCCGCGCTATCGAGCCACGGAGTCAGTCTGCTACGCGCATTATGCGGGTCTCACAGATGTCCACAAGAAGTTCATCGAATCCTTGCCATGCTCGTCGATAATTTCGAGTACCTTTTCGGTAACGTGAAAATTATTTACTTTTTCTGCTTTCGTATTGTGTCGTGCGAGTAGAATCTCGAAACTGTTCGTGAAATCGATAACAGTTGTTGAAAGTATCGAGTGCTTTTGGAATACTATAGGATGTCATGAAATTGGCGGTACAACCGTACAGGATGCGATTTCTCTGTGAAAAAATATGTAGACAATATAGAATAACATTTTTTTGTAGAGGGCTTCGTTTTCGAAAAAATCAGTTTTGAAAATTCAGCCAACTAGTTATTGTGTCTGTTATTTCTGCTGGTAACAAACTTGAATATTGGTACAATCACCTAATAATTCTGTACCTGGCGGTTTATATAAAATGTATCGAAGGATGGCAGTACTATTACTCTACTGATAATGTCTACATGTTAATATAAATCTTAGGTATCTGTTAAAGTGATGATTGTAGCACTAATGCCAGTATTGTCGTTTCATTTTATTTTAACAACAGGGAGTTAAAACATTTGCCAAAACAATGGTGAAAAGTTATAAGAAACGAGGGGAGCTATTGGCTTGTATCACCAGTTCGACAACACACCCTATACGTTCCAGATACGTTCTTCCCGAAGGAAATTACGTGACTCGGTGTTGGAAAGAGTTGAGTGGATCGGTGTTGAACAAAAAAGTAACCCTCCGCCTCGAAACCACAGCCTCGAGGATCAGACAACGGGCGTTCTCTCGCGCGTTTCGCGGGCTTTAATCGTGACTAAGGACGAGCGTAGGGCGGTCGCGTTACCCTCTGAATCGTGCTCTCCACTTCTCCTCCCATTCTTCGTACCTTTTCGACGATTGAAAGCGTCGGCGCTTTGCGACGCCCCCTCGTTCCTCGAGTTTTTCCTTTCACCTTGGGGCCCCCTTTGTCGCCGTCACCTCTTCCTCCGATACGCCGCAATTAAAAGGCATCCGTGCGTTAACGAGTGCTAGGTCGGTCTCAAGGGTTCGTATTATTTGCTTATCCCGCAGCCACCGTGGCTCCTGTTCCGCCCCTCCAATAATGCCGCATTGTCCGCTTCCTTCACCGAACTCGCGAGAAAAATCCTCGTTCCCGTCGCGGTGATGTTGCACTCGAGGCCTCTGACGTTCGACGGACGGATAGTTCTATCCCGGTGTGGAGGATCAAATTGCTTTTGCCGGGAAGTGGGTCAGTCGAGGGGATTAAATCGTTTCCCCGCGTGGAAATTCGATTTTCGTCGGCCGAGGCCGAGCGTCAAAATTGCTCTGAGGTCGACACGAACTGGGACACACGGGAAAAACGAAGTTTCCTTTTGACGTGACTCATCCTAGTGATAATATGCGAACCGATGTAGCTGTTTAGTTGAGGTTATCTGGGGAATGATACGGATCGCATCGCTTTGTAATTATTAGATATGTGTTTAACGTGTAAGCTATTGTTAACATAGCCACTTTGGCATTATCTGTTTATTTCCAATTGAACTATTGTGTTAATTGTTCTGAGATACTTTCTAACTGAACAATTACTCCAAAACTACTGTACTTAATTCTTTAGTTTTTGATTACCACAAAAAGAAAAAGAATATGCCTATCATTGCTGGATTCTGGTGTGATGCGAGTAGACCTTGACTTTCTATTCGGTGTTCGCATAGCGCACATAACAGTATTGTTTTTCTATTACACGGGACTGATAGCATTTCATTCTCAAACGTGTTTTTCTTATGTTTTTTTGCTCATTGAAATATATACAGCCTTACACATTAGAAATTAGTGGCGGTATTCTAGATGTTAGAGTTATTTAATATTTTTTATTTTGTAATAGAGAGTGTTAATTAGTTTCAGCAACCAGTAATTAAGCTTTCTAGTCAAGATTATCCGTGAACCGATAGCCATCCGTTCCTCAGCGATCCTTGGATGCGTGTTTGAAGCATAAACTATTGTACTGACACCAACCACTTTAACATTATCTATTTACTTTCGATCAAACAATTTCGCCAATGGTTTCGGGAGCCTTTTATAGGCCCATTTCTTTCTCTTAGATCGTGTGCTTAAAATTGTCGATCGTCAGAAAGATATTATTCGTTATCGGTGTCTCTTTCATCGAGAATCCTTATCCCATATTCCGGAATCAGATTGCGGGTGGAAATTATTATTGTTAGTAGTAGTCAATTTTTATGCAAATTCAGTTTTTGGGTTAATTTCTTCATCTCTCCCCTGCAGGATTTTGATGTTAATCATTATTAAATATGACAACTAGTAGTAGTCAATTTTTATGCAAATTCAGTTCTTGGGTTAATTTCTTCATTTCTCCCCTGCAGGGTTTTTATGTTAATCATTATTAAATATGACGTGAACTTTCAATTTCAGTATATTTTATGTACTAACTACAAATACATTATATCCGCAGTCTAATTTTTCTCATCATTGTTATGCAATTGCAGCCAAGAGTTGATAGTGTCAAGAACGTATGTACTATGTGCTGCAAAGTATGATATAACAAGTCAGATACAATCATCTGACTGTCATTAAAACTAACCATACGTACAGGGTGTGGCCAAAATAGTATGCGTTATGCAAAAGTAAGTCAAAAGTGCAAAATAAAATATTGAGAATCTGTTGTACACGCGTGCAGTTGAATAGAATTTAGCTAACGCGTCTTTTCATTAATTACCATTTCTACTTATTGGAAGTTTGAACGCATATACATACATCAGAACAATTTTCGTTCTTCTGTAATTTATTTTTGCGCGGGGAATCATTTACTACCCACTTGTATCTCGTCTGCGTAGAAGTTTAGCATCACCTACGATTTGTGATTTCGTTGAAACTAAAAAAAAGTTGATAAAAAATAAAGTTATATTATTGATAAAAAATAAAAATTTTATTAGTTGATAAAAAAAAAATAAGTTCATAAACATCTTGTAGAAAGGATTCGTAGTAATGAGACGTAGAAAAAGGAAATGTGAAATTTGATGATGCGGTTTCAAGGAATAATGGAGATAGACGATTCTGATCGAGTTTGCGTTCAGTTTCATTTCCGATTTTCGAACGCGAGAGAAAATTCCGCCCGTGTGGGATTCGTTTCGAGCAGGTTTCTTCCGAT